GGTTTTCAGATGCAGTTCAAAGTTTATTTGAACTTTATTTATTTAAAGTTTAAATACTTTAAAACCCTACTTTACGTAGGGCCTATATTACTTGAAGGAATCCTTCTCCAAGATCAAAGAACTTGCCCCACATGTTCCCACAGGAAGGCATTTTTTTAAAATCTTGCAATCTTACAGGACTGAGGAAACACCTCTTTTCTGTAGTTGTCACTTCTGCCTGGAGAAATCCCCCACCGCCCCATAAAGTATATGACTAGCCCCAATTCTTCTCGCCTTTAGGAAACCCTTAAATCTTGGCTCTTCCTCCAGGCATTAGGGATCAGTTTAATAGGTTTCCTCCATGTGATTGGTTTGTTGTGTGGTCACCATTTTATATTTTATATGTATATTTTGCCTGTTAGTTGTAGATGGTTTTCTTTCAATTATTTTTCCTGTATTGTGTTTGCCCAGAATCTTAATGTTTGAGCGGGATGGCTTTATAAACCTTGCAATCAATCAATCAGTCAATCAAAGCTTTCCTGGCACTGCCCACATACTCACTTATTAGGTGAATTAAATGAAAGTTTAATTCTCTGCGTTAATTGCCCCTTTATGTCTCTTTTTAAATACATATAAACTAAGTACATAGTTTACATTATTTTTTTTAATTAAAAATTTTACACAGTTGACACTGGGCTCTGGACTCTGTGTAGAAAGCATAGACATTTTTTCTTTTGTGTGTTAATAATACATGGCAGAAATAATATACTTTAAGAACCCAGTATATTCACAACACTTCTCACATGCTGGAGAACTTCCTGAGACAATAACCTTTATCTGCAGCCTAAATATTTATTATCTACTTATTCTATTCAGCATCTGAACCCCTAGTCCAGATCATGAGGGCAAAAGAAATATAGAGGGCAGTCATTAGGAAGAGAGTGACTCTGTGGATTGCAATCCTAAAAAATGTTTTTCAAGTTCTAACTTATCCTTTTAGATGTCAGTCAAAGACATGACTGTTCGAAGGCTACCTGCTGGACATGGTAGTTTTATACTTTATTTCCAAGACAGGATTTTTATTTGGTTTCATTGTAATTTAATACTGGATATCATATTTACTTACTGCATCATGCAATTGTATATTCATGAATTCACACTGCAAAATGCCAGAACGTCTATATTTTTATTCTGATAATTTTTTATTTATTTTATTTATTCTTTCTCATGCTTCTCTCCACTAAAACATTTGATAAGTAAATAGTATTACATTCTACAAATCAAATGTAAGTCTCTGCAAGTGTCTAATGTTGTTTACAGAAGATGAGCAAGATAGAATTATTTTTGATGATGGGGATTTTGATGAATCTATACCAGGAATGGGAATTGTGTCAGAAGAGGTCACATACCTCAAGGAAGAGATGGAATTGGAACAGAAACAAATGCTGTAAGTAAACATTGTGGAAACAGCTGCATATTTGTTTTCCTGTCAGCACTAATAATGTTTTCATAAAGCTGTATTATTCATCAAGATACATAGCTGACCTGCATAGATTTTTTTAAATTATAAAATATTTCTTCAGAATTTTTACAGTTGGAGAAAGAGTACTTCTTTGATTAAGTAGTCATTTCTATTATATTATTTCTTGTTTCACATTGGCTCCAGGTGTTCTTCCCTCCATGATAAATCCTGCTGGGACAGAATTGATGAACATGAAGATGAGTTTGTATCTTCAGAAATTCAGGTGGATTCCAGTCAGCTCCCACTTACAAAGGGAGAAGAGGGGCAACAGATTTTCAAGTTCTATTGGCTGGATGCTTATGAAGATCAATATAACCAACCAGGTATGTTTATATTCAACATATGCCTGTGTCAGATTTCAGACTTATACTTTGTGATCCCAAAGCTTTCTCTAATGGGAGTAATTTAATAATTAACTAAATAGGGTAGCTTTACAGCATTCTGAGATGGGAAAAAGGTAAAAGCTATAGAGTAAGCCTTGAAATAGATATAGCATGACTTAAATGCAAAGTTCCTCCAAAACCAAATAAAACTAGGGAAAAATAGAACCTAGTTTGAATCTACATGTATGATATACCCTAAGTGACTGTCATTTCATTCACCATAGCCTTCAGTTTTTAGAGTGCTCCAGGAAAACAGAAATTGAAGTGGAAAGAAAAGTTTTAAGAAACCTGTCATTTTTCCATTGCCGAGATGGAACTGAAAGCTTCCTAAATGTATAGTGCTTAAAAATAATTACGTGTGAATTGTAAAGCCAGGGAACTCCAAAGGTTCCATGGTACTAGTTTCATTTATCTGTTTTTTTAAAATCTAGATCTTTACTGTCATTTAGCCCATTTAGTCATTTGCACATTGGATTCAGGAAGGAGGAGAGTAAAGATTAATTACCAATATTTCATTTTTAAAAAAATAGAGCAAGAAATCAATTAACATTCATTTATAGCTCAAATAAGAGTTATATACGTGTATGTATGTACGTATGTATGTACGTATGTATGTATGTATGTATATATGCTATATTAACTATACAGAAAAGTTTTGTGGCAGTAGGTAATAATCATTGAAGCTCTGAAGAAATTGGTGACTAATATGAAAAGAAAAAAGTGGCCCCAAAGACCCCTGTACAGTGTGATCTTAGATTCGGTATAGTAGCTTCTGAATGATGTATAATTATGAAAAGACTTCTGTTCCTTGATTATGAAAAGAGACCCTATCATCATAACTTTTCAAGGATGAATAGTAAAGACTGCACCTGGTTTCAATTAGTAATGCGGAGAGAAAAAAAATTGCCATTACTTTTTGTTTTAAAAGAATCATGATCCTTATACAGTAGCAAATGAGATATTAACTAAATTATGTGGAAGACATATCTTATTGCAAAATGAATGAGAATTTCATATGCATGTAATATTAACATGTCATGCTAAACCATGATTTACTGATATTTGCATCAACTTCTGCAACTCTAAGCAAAGTTTTGCTTGTGTTCTCCATTCCTCTTCCTATATTGTTTGAAAAAGACTTCCTACCGGGTGAATTAATCCATGTAATGAAGCCATACCTGGGTATTTTATGAATCAGGCCTAATGCACCCAATAGCTGTCTGAGACCTTCCAGGAATGGGGAGGAAGGAGGCCCCCAGGCTGCTTGGCCTAGCCAGCTGAGACATTCTGAGCATGGTGGGGCAGGGAGAAGGACAGGCATATTGGCAAACCCCTGAAGTTTGATCATGCGACTGTGAGGTTGCTGCAACAGTCAGAACTTCGAGCAGGGATTGTAAGTCCCTTCGGTATCATAATTTTGAATAGTCACATAATAAATGGTCATAAGTCGAAGACTACCTGTAATGAATGATAATATTTGTGCATTTGAACTTTCAGAATGATGCACCTTGGGTTCACAAGATCTGATACATATTTTGGATCTCCTTGACTTTTCCAAACACAAAATTCTGAGGAATCTGAAAGATTGCACATTTTACTAGCATTTTGGCTATTCTTTATAAAGATTCTAATCATATCTCAATATTAAAATTGCACATTAAAAGAAACAGCTATATGGTTTTGAACAAGGGAATAGAAATTCTAGAAAAGCCTACTTTCAGGACCCTTTCATGATAAAAAGATGGTATGATATGTGCCTACAAAATTATTGAAGCAATCTCCGTCACTGTTGACTTTCAGCACACAGAGTTGTAAAAGAGAGACTACAAATTGGAAATCATTTTTTGTTCCCAAGGGTGAATTAGTGTGTTTATTCAGTAATTTGTAGCTTTTCCATTAGCAGCTGTGCTAAACTGTTCTGATTAATGCGCATTGTCTCTATCGTTTTCTATCATTTTAGGAGTGGTATTTCTCTTTGGGAAAGTATGGATTGAATCGGCACAATCTTATGTGAGCTGCTGTGTAACAGTAAAAAATATTGAGAGAACTATTTATTTACTGCCACGTGAATCGGTACGTTTTCTTATGTTACAGTATTCTCATCTGATAATGTCTCTCATCTGTTTTATGGAAGGCAGAAGGCATTAAGGCAAACTGTGTTATAGAATTAAATGTGAAAATGAAACTGTAGATTAATATAATCAACCGGTAAGTCTACAGTATCTAACATGAGACCATAATACATAAAATCCAAAAAGCACATGGGAGTACTAAAATTCCAATCTAAATTGCTGCTCTTATTATTTTTTTTAAGTAGCTTGATTTAGTACATAGGCTGTTTAGTACCATTTCACTGCTTTCATAACCTACAACCTAGCTTGGATGCTTTGGGTAAACCTCTTTATTTTTCCATCCCAGATGAAATATAGCTATTCATTTTTCTTTTCCTTCATTGTCTTTTCTGGCTTTCTGACAGCTGAGTGGTAAACTGCCTTTTTGTCTCTAAGAAAGTCTGTGTTATACAACAACCAACCCAAATGGTTCATATTGGGTTAAATAGCCGAGTAGAAATGTTAAAACAATAATAGCTATGATTTGAGTCTCCAATTATTCAATTATCAGATAATTCTGATCTGCTGAATCCAGAAAGCAGTTTTCTGGGAGATTAGTTGAAGAAAACTACCTATTTATATTTTAGAGAAATACTTGATTTTCTGTAACCTTGAAGTGTATACATTGGTATTGCAATGATTGAAAAAATTCTTCTTAAAGCGAATTGAGTTAATCTCTGAAAAAGAAACAGCGATTCCTGTGACTATGATGGACATCTATCAAGAATTTAATGACCAGATTGCAGAGAAATATAAGATCATGAAATTCAAATCCAAGGTTTGTTAAACATTCTGTCACTTCCCAATGATGTTCCTAAGCATGGAAATCTGATTCTTTTTTCATTCTCCATGGGGAGGAAAATTGTGGGGTCCCTTCATTTAAAGGAACAAGAATTAATAGATGATTATTTTACTGAAGCAGAAATTTGAGAGATGTGAGGCTGTTGTTCATCATGAGATATTGAAATAGATTTTTCTTGTTTATGGGATATAGCACATTTTTTAAAATTGACAAGAATCTCTGAAATACTTCCTGTTTGATGGAATTTTGCAAAGATTTTTAACGGGACAGATCTCATTTCCTCTCCACTTTGGTGCTCCTTTTCTTTCTAAATAAAAGAACATAATATAAAAAAAAATGAAGCCCAGTCATGCCTGATAAATTGAATCTACTATAGATTCTGATGTACATATATTGCTCTAGTTCTTATTTACATGTTATTTTTCTTTTAGTAAATATGCCTAAGTACTAGGAATCTAGTTTTGTTGCTTGCTGAATTATTCTTTATTATATTGGAATTGTATGAAATATAGAATTTAAAAAAACTCTACCAGGCATATTGCATACTGTTGCTTTAAATGTACACCTAAATAGAACATAAATTGATGATTTCATAATATAAGGTATAAGGACAAAGAGCTACAGGAAAAAATCACCATTGTGTCTTTTAGAAAAAATAGTGAAATGTTAGATATAATGGACCAATTTAGATGTTATGTTTTCAACTTTATAAATCGTAACTTATTGATTTGGAAATGAATGCATGATCCACTTTTTTTCTTCCGCCCCCAATTTCTATATCTGTTTCGGTATATAAATTCTATTTTAAGTTTGGTCTATTATAAGTAGTCCTTGCTTAATGATCTTAATTGGGACCAGAATTTCCATTGTTAAGCAAAGTGGTCATTAGGTGAAGTATCACATGAGCACATCACTTAGTGAGGGCAGTTCTGGTAGTCTTAGTTGTGGGCATTAGGCAAGGACCATGGCTCATTAGATGAGAACCTCACGGTTCTCCTGCCATGCCATGCTCACCTCTGCTTCAGTTCCCCTCGCCTATCTCTCTCCTTGCCGTGTCTGCCCTTTGGGCCACCTTTCACTCCACTGCCACAGCCTGTCCCTGCTATCCCCCTCATTGCCTCCAGCTGATCTTCACCGTTGTCTTTCTCTTGCTGCTGACAAAGTGCATCCAGCTGAGATAACTGCTGGCCCTTTGTGATGCTGCATGATGCTTCCTGACACTGTCAGAAGCCTTCCTGAGAAGATAGGCAGATGGTGGCAGTTGAAGTGCATGTATATATGAGTTAAATAATTACGTAATCTTCAGGTTATGTTTAAAGAGAGAGATCTGTATTATCATAAAATGGATTTCACAGTACAGATTTTAAAACTAAAAACAAAGAGTAAATGTTTTGGATTAAAGAAATATTCTGTTCAGAATATATTAGTGCCTGATATGATATGATATATGTGATATATGATGTATATCTTTTTATTTTTTTAAAAAAATATTTTCATAGAAAGTGGAAAAGAATTATGCTTTTGAGATACCAGATGTTCCTGCAAAATCTGACTATTTAGAAGTTAGGTACTCGGTAAGTAAATTGTAGTATAAAATGGTATATGGAGCCATGGTTGAAGAAACATTGAGTGCATTAGTATATATGTGTACTCATGTAATTAAAAAAAAATTACGCTTGAAATATTCTATGTATTAAATCTAAGGTTAAAATTTAAAATTATAAAAAGATGCAAATACTGCTCTGTTATATATTTGCTGGCTATTCTAAATTTCAAAAGTGTTATTGCAAGTAACAGAATTTGTTAGAAGATTAATCTGAGGAACCAGAAAGTTATTTGTACGTCTTTACAAACTGATAATTTGTACGTCTTTACAAACTGATAATTCCATCAGTTGCATAGAAGCGTGTACCTCCATCTACTTTATATTTCTGAATTCTGGACTAGATGACCTCCAAGGTCCCTTCCAACTTTATTATTATTATTATTTTATTTATTTATTTTAGAATCATTAGTATAGCGCAAGCACTCTTTTTTTCTATCTTGGCAAAAATTGCTATAATCTTTTGTGAATTGATAACATGAACTGAAGGGGATTCATGCCCAATATGAACTAATTGCTTAGTTGTACCATAGAAATATACTCATGCATTTGTGTTCCCTATAATTATAAAAATTTAAAAATTAACATAAATACTATTGCAGGTTATCAATGGAGGTTGTTAATATTTGGACATGGGATGCTCATGTATTTGAAGTAACTCTATCACTTGAGTCTGTTCATTGCATTACACTACAGTTTATTCAACGATATATCAGAGTTCATTGAATTCAACAACATATTAGCCATAAATAAATCATTGTCACTCTGTTGACAATCCTCCAAACAAAATTCATCAATCTATTTTGTATCTTCATACAATACATGAATACTTTTACATCACTTTGATTATAAGTAATGTAAGTTGCATAAACTGTGCATTATTGCTCCTAGGAAGTTTTAATTTTTAATGCTTTACATTTCTCATGAGTATTTCAGTACGGGTTCCTGACATAGTGAGCTTTATTATTTGCCTCTTGTACAAACAGATCTGTAGAAAATGGTCAGTTATAAAAATTGGCAAAGTTCTGTTTCAATTTAATAGTAAAATAGTTTAATATTTCAATTCTCAGGCTGAATATTGTCGATTACCACAAGATCTGAAAGGAGAGACATTTTCTCATGTATTTGGAACAAACACTTCAAGTTTAGAGCTTCTGTTAATTAGCAGGAAGATTAAAGGACCAAGTTGGCTGGAAATAAAAAATCCACGTATGAACCTTTTCTATATTATATTTCTTTACACAAAGTTCAGTCAGATACATGTAAAAGGGAAATCTGCTAAACCTATGATTGCTCTGTACATTGTTTGGATTCAGATAAACTGTCCACCTAGCAACAGTCAGATATTTTGTACAGCTCATATTTTTAATCATATTTTATAATAGCGTACTATTTTATAAATATAAATTTATTTTATTTATGGATACCTGCTTTATAATTTAGATGCATATAATGGATTAATATAAATATATAGCTTATATTTGAAGAGTTCAGGGCCCAGTTCTACTAACATATTATTAAACTGCAAGAAAGCCGTGGTGGTGCAGTGTGGTTAAAATGCAGTTTTGTAGGCTAACTCTGCCCATAGTCAGGAGTTCGATCCTGACCTGCTCAAAGTTGACTCACCCTTCCATCCTTCGGTAAAATGAGAAGCCAGATTGTTGGGGGTCATATGCTGACTCTGTAACTGTTTAGAGAGGGCTGTAAAGCACTATGAAGCGGTATATAAATCTAAGTGCTATTGCTATTAGTATTGCTGCAAACTGTTATTTAGCAAAATAATTACATTAACCATATTTAAATATTAAGTGTGCTTTTATTGATGTCTAAAGAAGGTTTCTGTGTTACTTTAGAGTTGTTGAGTCAGCCTGTCAGTTGGTGTAAAGTGGAATTAATGGCACTAAAACCTGACTTGATTAATGTGGTGAAGGATCTTCCTCCACCACCTCTTGTGATCATATCCCTTGCCATGAAAACAATTCAGAACACAAAGACTCATCATAATGAGGTAAGCTATGATTATTGTGGGTTGAGAAAAAACAAAATGTTGTGGTTATTTGACAAAATACATTTTCCATAGCTGTGCAAATTTGCTTTTATATTCTTCAGGCCTGAAGCACATTTTTGATGCATTCCTCATCCTTTTTTGAACACAAGACACTGAAGCATTTGTTCTTAACTGTCTTTTTAATGATCAGTATTTTTATTATATAAATAACCTTTTGAAGATTTTGAGTATCTTTTTGAAGAAAATATATATACAGTCTAATCACAGAGCAACATAGTTAATGTAGAAAATGTAGAAAACAAATGAGCAAAAAAGGAAAAGAGTATAGAAAATGAAGTTTAAAGCATTATTTTCTAAAAAGTATACAGATTTTGTTGCATATTGATAGTAACTAATTTCTAATTGTCTGCATGGAGAAGAACCTTTCCACTTAGAATAGAATATTCTTTATTGGCCAAGTGTGATTGGATACACAAGGAATTTGTCTCTGGTGCATAAGCTCGCACTGTACTTACAAACAACAAAGTAATATAATCAAAGCTACCAATAGTGGAAGGTAATAGGAAAGATGAGAAGGATAATAGTAATACAGCACTACTACATGAGTAAATATCCTTAGACATATCACAGTGCTGTGAGGATTAGGTGTTCAGCAGAGTGACGGCATGAGTGGAAAAAACTCTAATTGTTTTGGCATGCAATGTTCTACAGCAGTGTCCTGAGGGAGGAGTTGAAATACAGGTAGTCCTTGAGGTACGAACATAATGGAGCCTGCTCCTTACGATTGTAAGTCAAAAAAATTTGTCAAATGAATCAGACTCAATTTTACACATTTTTAAAACCAAATTCATTAATTGAATCAAATGGGTCATTAAATGAATGAAGATCTGACTTACTATTTCCTCCTATTTATGAATTGATCGCTGCTATCATTAACAGAGGCTTTTCCCACCGGACGCCCATTAGCTGTTTCCAGTGCAGACTTGGCTCAGGAACTAAATTGCCTCCAAGAAGGCTTGCAGGATCGCAGTTGCTTTTTATTTTTTTTTTAAACCACTTGTTGCTAATCAGCTCAAATGTCTTCAGTTGCTTGGGGTGGTGGTGGTGGAAATTAAAAAAAAAAAACACTTGTCATTAATTAACTTAATATCCCTCCAGCAAGGTACCCAGAGGGAGATGGGGGAGGGATTTACAGAATTCTTAGCTTGCAACAGTAACAGAAATGGAAGGGACCTTGAGGTCATTTAGTCTTAACCCATGGCTCTCACAAGAGAGTATTTGTGATAAATGCCTATCCAGCCTCTTTTTAAAAGCTTCCAGTGATGGGGCACCCACAACTTCTGGAGGCAATTTAAATTTAAAACCTAAAAGCTACAGTTATATACACTGATCTTCAAAATAAAAGCAAGGAAACACAACTATAGAATGCTTTGTGTAGATGCTGGCTAGCATTTCTACAAGCAGTTTCAAGACAAATGCAAACAAACTTTATCTTTTCAAAATACTATACTTACAAACACAATAGTTTGGAAAGTACAATACTTAAAAAGAAGCAGAGCAGTTCCCAAAGTGCTTACAAACAGTACAGTACTGTAGACTAACAAAAAATAATATTTTAAAATACTTAAAGAAGCAATTCTAGCACTCCAGTCCTCAAGCCCAGGCAGCAGCAGATCCTCCATGCTGTACCAAGCCAGGCTGCAAAAATCCCCAGATCTTGTTTGGCCATGTGTCCAGGGACAAAAAAACAAACAAACCCCTGCCAGCTTCGTAACCCCATATGGTCCAGCAAGTCACAGAGTTAAAAATGGCCACTTCTGCAGTAGTGACTGAATCCATGTCATATGGCTACAGAGGCCTCTTTTTGGTCGCAGTTTTGAATTTCTAATGTACCTATCCTTTCCGAATAAATTCATTCCTGTTAAAATTTGTTAAATAAATGTTCATACCTGGGGGATTACCTGTAGTTATTAATGTCCAGGCTGTGAGAATCTGTAGATTATTTCTCAGCCCTCTTTCTGGCTCATGCAGTACAGATATCCTCAATGGAAGGCAGGCTGATTGCAATAGTTTTTTCTGCAGTCTTAACTATCCTTGAAGTCTGCCTGTCCTGTTTGGTTGCTGTACTTATGCTTAATTGTCAAAATTTGATTAATATCATTAATAAGAAACTTTTTAAAAAGTTTGCTTTTCCTTTTACTTCTTTTGCTCAAGACAAGGTTAACCTCTTAATAAAATTATTTTCTGTCTCTTCAAAAAATGTGTAATTGAAATGAGTTGGTAAGAAAGTATATTCTTATTTTAATTATTGCTATGTGAAGTGTTTTGTAATTGCCCAAAATGTGAAAAAGAAGAAAGTGATGAACTAATTTTTAATTAGTATGAGTTGCATAGAAAAGGTGTGTTTACACATCATACAAAGAAAAGTGTTTCTTGACAGGTTGTTCCAAATAAAAACAATTTGTAGTCAACTCTGAATAATGATGCATGGTTAGATTTATTGAATAGATTACTAAATCTATGCTTAATTTAACAAGTGTTAACAGATGAATGAGAATATGATTTCATTAATGTCTCTCATTCTTTTACTATTTTTCTTTGATAGATTATGGCTGTTACAGCTTTAGTGCATCACAAATTTTATCTGGACAAAGCACCACCTGAAC